CCCCCCCCCCCCCCCCAGTGGTGATTAAATACCTCCAAAAGAAAGCTCTATCTGTCCCCCCAAAAAGTTAACATAAATTGCAAGGCTATAGTCTGGGTTTGCTGACTGGTGACATTTTTGACTGACTGGTGAGACACCCTACACTGGTGTACACATACACTAAAGCACAGTGGCTATTAGCTCTTTAATGTGAGGAGTGTTGTATAGCAAAAAGCACAAACACTTATACTGTATTATTAGAATATAGTAAATATATCTGCATTACCTTTATATTACCACTAGATAGCATGATATTCACAGAAAGAGGAAACCAGTAATTACAAGAGAAGCATTAATATATAACATATAGCAGCATTATTTACTGTATATCCTGCCACCAGGTGTCATGATAGCTACCCTGTAGTGACATTTCCTTTATCCTGCAATCGGATGTCATTATATTTACAGAAAGAAGAAACACATCATTGCAAGAAGATCAATAACATGGCAATTTGATCAAGGGGAGAACAGTATCCTTACCCAATTCACACCCTTTTATACATAAATTATTTATTAAAGCTCTAATATTAGTTACATACGGCTTTTAATCAGATACCACTAAATATAAAATACTAACAAATTGATGTCCTTTCGTGAATTAGAAGAATATAAGGAAGCATTAAAAAGGTTGGAAAGTTTTTTTGATTAAAAAAAAGACCACGAGATTGAAGATAGGAAACATAAGAAGTAGTTGAGGGATTCATTGGATTATAAGAATCAATTCGTGTATAAATAAATAATAGTGGTTCAATTAAAGCCTCTGGGAGTATTGAAGAAAAGGATAAACTTGTTTATAATGTTGGGAAAGAAGTGAATGATTGGAAACCAGTTCAGAAACAAAGAGGGGTAATTTTAGAGCTTTTAAAAGGAACAAGGGAAAGATCACACAGGGGTACCTTAAAGAAAATCCCCGGTTAAATAATGGGATAATAGGACTGGCACTGGAACCAATACATTTGGTGATAGGGGAGGAGACTGTTTAATGTCCCTACATCACAAAGATATCACCTTTACTGGAACTCAGGAACATGATGGAGGAACCGGGGGTCAGAAGAAATAATTTTTTCAAGGAGGGAGTTGGGATCGTTCACCTAGGAATCACTCTCCTATCCAGGGATGGGAGACCCAGGGTTCGCATCAGGGTGGACATCCTATCCCAAGAAAGGGATAAGACATCAAAGGATGGCATCAAGGGGGAAGATGGGATACATCAAGGGGCCCGAAGCTTTGTGATGGTACTGAACAAGTCCATTGTCGATAATGGGCCAGTAAGCACATGCATTGTCACAATGATGGAGGAAAACAGCACCATCATATCAGTGCACCCGCAAAGCTGTGCCGGTACTTTACCACTGGAGAAGAGGTGCTCAGCGATGGTCAAGGACAGTTCCATCATTGCAGTTCTCCCACAGAGCGCATACTTCACAGCAGGCAGGGATCAGGAGTGTGTAACACAGAGAGTGCCGGAGTGCATAACGCAGTGCTTCTTCTCTTCACTCTTGATGGAGGAACAAAGCAGCATGGGTGCATGTAGCCATATAATGTAAATTACTGGTGTATTTCCACTATTGGAATACACAGATGCAATGTACAACTGCCCTTAGTAATAAATGGCTGTAGGTGGTTCTATGTGGGCTTATGGGCATACAACCCTGGACAAAGACACGCTGCATCCAGAGCATATGGCTTTACGCATGCATGGGTATAAACAGGTAGCAGAGTGAACCCAAATACAGCCACCTAAAAGACAGGTTCTCTTAATGGTCACCATAGTAGCCTAAACGCAGTATTCCTGGGCTCCCCTTCTACATATTTCCACTGCTGGTATAAAGAAAAAATAGCAGCTGCATGGGCTTGGGGGTAGAATGTAGCTCCATTAGGGAAGCTGTTGTGGTAAATTAAATGTAGAAAATCTGTTTGCATATGATGATAACGCTTAGTATTATTATGGGTTGGAAAGGTTGCTGTTAACATTGACCCACCCACTCCTGTGACATTTCCAGTCAAAGAAAGAAGATGTCAGACATACAAAAGTCTTCAATAGGGTTG